AAGTTCTTTAATTTTATCTGCTTTACTTTGTGCTTCAGCGAATTTGCATTAAGGACAATGCAAAATTTAGGTGTGGGGGTGAGAAGTACATATTTTCCTCTTTATTTTACCTTTTTAGTTGTATTTTTGTCATTTTCTTTTCTTTTTTTCTTTTTGTTAAAAAAAATTATAAAAATATTGTTACTTGCCAAATTAAAAGAGTTAAGTAATAATTGGTCAAATTGATAGATTTTAAATTTTCTAATTCTTAGTTAGTGACATATTCAAGTTCACCTTTTATGATAACTCCAAATAAAATTCTTAAGAAATGATTTTTCAACTAGTATACTTTACTTTAGTCTTACCTTAGATTTTTAATTAAAAATAATGAAATTTTTGCATGCTTAACTTAGAGTCGAAAATAATTTTTTTCAAGTTATCTTGATTTACATATTTTTTTCAAGACTATATACACTTACACATATATATATTAAAAAAAACTCTTAAATTCAAGGTGATTCTATCTTATAAAGCCTAAGTTGACTGAGTAATTAAATCCAAGGAGTATTTCTATACTTAATGACCTAAGCTCAATTGGGTTAGGATTCATTGGCCCAAAACTCGTTAAATGGTCACTTAGAAAGCCCGTTAAAATAGAAAACAATCACCAAGAATTAGAGAGTGAATATATATATATATATATATATATTAACAATTGTTTTTATATATTGTTGTTTTGTATATATGGTCTTGAAAAATAATTTTTGATCAAGAGACTTGAAAGTTATTTAAAACAAAGAGTTGGCATGTTCTTTTCAAAACTTTTTAATTAAATTTCTAAGATTTGACTTGGTTTTGTATTGCTATAATGAAAAAGATTTTCTAGGGGATTTACATTGGAGTTATATATAAAAACGTTTTCTTGATTATTAACTAGCTTCTTCTTTACTAGAGGACTAGCAAAAGTTTAGGTGTGGGGGTATTTGATAATCACATTTTATTATAATTTTATACCCTCATTATCTATTTTATATAAATAAATATACCACTAATAATTATTTTTATCTTTAATTGCAGGTTAATAAAGAATAAACCCCAAAAATCCCATCTCTCAACAAAGACCCTTGAGTAAATGAAGAAATAAGGGAAATCAAGAAGTCTAATGGAAATCAAGAAGCCCAATGGAAATTCAAGAAGCCAAAGTGAAAAATCAAACCAAAAGCCCAAGCCCACGAATTAAAGAAAAACACAAGCAAAAGAGCAAACAAAGAAATTGTGAAAAGCCCAAAAGAAATTCCGCACAAGTTCCTCTTTATTCTCAAGTGAGCTTTAAAATTTGAAGGCCCAAAGCCCATCAAAAAAACATTACACCAAGGAGTCTCCATTGGACCGGACTTGCTGTAGAGATTTGGGTTTTCATTTTCTTTTTTCTTTTTTTGAAAATCTTATGTAAGTGTATTAGGCCTCCTACGTTGGGCTAGAGAAGAACAAAAAGCAAACATGGAAATTCCAACCCCTTTCTTCACTAACAAATTTAAAGGTGGAGATTGCTTTGCTTGGGACTCAAGATAAATCTAATGGCTCTCATTCATTTATGTTTACTATAAATAGGGGTAGAGAGTGAGGGGTTGAGGGTGTGAAAAATTTTATAACTCAATTTGGAAAGGAGGACTACTCTTAATTGAGAAGGGCTTCCAAAAATTGTAACTTTTGTTGCAATTAATAATAATAATTTTTTTCCACTTTAAATTTGTCTTTTCTCCTCTTTGTTGAATGATGATGATGGAGATGAAGAGCAATTTGAAGGTTTGCATTTCTTTTATTTTTCTCTTTTATTTCTTTTTTGTAATTTCTTTATTATTGCTTATTAGTTAGATTTACATTCATGCTTGTAGTGTAGATTTATTTTCTTGTCTTTTTATTTTTTTTTTTGCACTTTAACTTGTAGAGTAGATTTATTTTTTTGCATTTAATTTTTATTTTGTAGTTTAGATTTTAATTTTTTTATAGTTAGATTTATTCTTTGTTCATAGTTTAGATCTTTCTTTTCTTTTTCATTTTGTAATTAGTTCTTTTTCTTCTTGTTTTCATTTCTTAAGATGTGAAATTAATTCTTGTAGGAATCTTGGAATTGTATGAAACTAGTCTAATTTCCTTTATATTGTATGAATTATTCTCTTTCACTTAAAATATTCATGTTTAGGATAATCAACTAGAAAACTAATCGGTAGAAGAAGAATTTGATAATCTATGCTTATCTTAAATGGTTTGATAGGTTATGCTTATGAATTCTAGGATTACTATCTTGTTATTGTTCTTATCATGAATAGTAATTTTGACTTAGATGATAATTTGATAGGTTATACTTTCCTTAAATGGTTTGATAGTCTATGCTTAATAAATCTAAGTTGAAATATGATAAAAAGAGAATAGTTTATATTTTGTAATTGATATTAGCTAGTGAATTAAATTCTAGATTTCTCATATCTTTAATTGAATCCTCCATTTTGACTTTCTTGAATTTTCTTTTCATTCTTGATTTTATTCATTCTTCTTCCTTGCCTTGTGATTTCATTTATTCTTTGATTCTTATTTTTTTCTCTAAAAATTCAATTTATTGTCTCTTGCATATATTCACAACACTCACTCATCACAATCACACTTATTCTTTAATCCTATTTTGTCACGCACACAACATAAGAACCTATTCTAATAATCTCTTAAAATCACCTTCCTCGTGGGATCGATAACTTTTTATACTATAACTTGATCAATTGTGCACTTGCAATTTTGGTACATAATTATGTCGCATCAGTTCCTCTCACGTAGGTAAGTCCTCCAAGGATATTGTGACTGGATATTGCACCCCCCACAAAGGTTGGACTTATTAAGAGTAGAACTCATCCTGCCCAGTCACAACATAAGAGCACTATCACCATAGGAATGAGGGAGTAGCTAACATGGTGCAAGTCATAAATGCATCCAACATTACAAAAGGAGTATAACTCTTAAGGTCAGTGCTCCACACGAGATCACCAATCCAGCTTGTTTCTACCACATTGAACCTTTTCCATGAGAATAACTCATCAATCAAAGGTTGGTTCCCGCTGTCAGTGAACTCTACTATGAGCTTAACCACATTCCCCTCGATGATTCTAGGATTGCACTCCTAGATAGACCCTTTGTCAAGTGGTCTGCCAAATTTTCTCTAGGATTGCACTCCTAGATAGACCCTTTGTCAAGTGGTCTGCCAAATTTTCCTCTGACTTTACAAAATCCAAGGCAACATATTTTCGATAGACCCTTTGTCAAGTGGTCTGCCAAATTTTCCTCTGACTTTACAAAATCCAAGGCAACATATTTTCTCATAAGGTTCTGCACATATTTAAATCTTATCTGCAGATGTCTGTTCAACTTTTTATTAATGATATTTTGTTTTAAAAGTTCTATAGTGGATCTGGAGTCTGTATGAATAGATATAGGAGGAATAGGTCCAGAAAGTTCTATAGTGGATCTGGAGTCTGTATGAATAGATATAGGAGGAATAGGTCCAGACACAAAAGGGAGTTCAGATATAAGGTTTTTCAACCATTCAGCTTCTGAGCAGCAAGAATCTAAAGCTATAAGTTCAGACTCCATGGTGCTTCTGGCAATCACTGTTTATTTACAAGATTTCCAAGATATAGCAGCACTGCCAAGCATAAAAATAAATCCAGAAGTAGAATTCACATTGTCAGAATCAGTGACCCAGTTAGCATCACTATACCCTTCAATCACATCAGGGTATCCAGAAAAAGTTAAACAATAGTTTGTTGTACCTCTCAAATATCTAAAGACTCTTTCTAATGCATTCCAATGTTCCTGACTTGGGTTACTAGTTAAAGACTCTTTCTAATGCATTCCAATGTTCCTGACTTGGGTTACTAGTGTATCTACTTAGTCTACCTACTGCATAAGCAATGTCAGGTTGGGTTACTAGTGTATCTACTTAGTCTACCTACTGCATAAGCAATGTCAGGTCTGGTTCGGTTTGTCACAAAAAGAAGAGAACCTATCAATTGTGAATATCTTTGTTGGGATATAGGTTCACCATCATGTTTGTTCAAGATGATTGAGGAATCATAAGGTATACTCACAGGTTTACACTTATGAAAATCAAATTTCTCTAACATTTTCTCTATGCTATAGGATAGACTCAAAGAAATGCCTTTAGAAGTTTTGGAGATTTTCATTCCAAGAATCAAATCAGCTTCTCCAAGATCTTTCATGTCAAAATTCTTTGACAAATAATTTTTAGCTTCTAGAACGACTTCGATTGAAGTACCAAAGATAAGAATATCATCTACATACAAACACAAGATGACACAATCATTGTGAATAACTTTTGAGTAAACACATTTATCAAACTCATTGATAGAAAAATCATATTTTGTAATAATTTAACAATGTTCACAATAGATAAAGCAATAACCTTTTAAACATATGATGCTTTTATAAACCTTATTCTGTCATTCGTTTAAAAATAGGCAAAACAACATATTATTTAGCATATGATGCTTGAAAAAAAAGAATAAATAATATTAGATAGCGAGCAAAATTAATGAGAGTAAATTACAGAAATGCAACATTTAGAATTAGAGATTAGAAAATCAGAAATTAGGCAAAAAGGATGATAGAACACCAAATTTCAGATTTATTATTTGAAAAGAATGAATATAATGTGACTATTGTTCTAGATTGTTAGAAAAACCACTGCAAATAATCAAAAGAATTCAAAAGAAGGTTAGAAAACGCAGGCCTGAGAAGGGGTAATCATATGATCACTGCCCTAGAACAATTGTCACTGTCTTCGCAAAGACGATTTGATACAACTACGCCTAGCGGTAAGACCCCCCGAGAAAGCCGGCACCAAAGTTTACTGCGGAACTTTGATCTCTTGCTCAATGGATGTTTGCCCAAAATTAAAATCAGAAATCAAAATATTGTATAGAATTGTGAGAGAGAGATTCAGAATTGCTCACTGTTTTTCTTTTCTTTCTTGTTCTTCATAGTTGCCTGAGATCCCCTTTTAATAGCCCTTGAGAATTTTTCATTGTCGTTGATAAGGCCGGAGAAGACGCCGACGTTACCGCAGAAGAGATTTCCGCTGTCGCGGAGAAGACGCCGATGTTATTGCAGGGAGAGATTTTCGGTCGGAAGAAAAGAGGAAAGAGCGAAGAAGGAAAGAGCGGAGAAGGGGAAAGTGTTACAGAAGAGGAAGTGTTTCATATGAGGATAAGGAATAAACATTATGCAAATGTACCCCTCAACAAATCATATTTGCATAAGAACGTTTCATATGAGGATAAGGAATAAACATTATGCAAATGTACCCCTCAACAAATCATATTTGCATAAGAACTCAAACTTTTAATTAATTCCAACAACATTATGCAAATGTACCCCTCAACAAATCATATTTGCATAAGAACTCAAACTTTTAATTAATTCCAACAAATTTAGGGTCAGTTTTTATTCCCATCTTATCTTTGCCATGTCATCTAAAATCCTTCATCTAAAAATAGCTACCTCAATTTTATAATATCTTTACAATTACATTACCTGATGTCACGTGCTATTTACGCACGTAAATTTTCGCTGGCGGTGAAATCTAGATCTAGGTACATATTTGGTCAATTTTTAAGACAATAAAGTCGCCAGAGAAACTATTAACACCAAAGCGGTTTAAGGGAGGTTACATAATAAATACACATTTGGTAATTTAGTCATTTTTGTCAAACTTGAATCACAACTAATTGTGGTTGAGATAAAGCCTTGGGCCTCGTTTGGTATACAGGAATGAGTGGGAATGGAATGCTCATTTCGGCTTCTCATTCATGTGAAACACACCATTCTTTTGTAAGCTAAAATATGTATTCCTATTTTTCTTGGACTTTCTCAATGAGTTGGTAGGGAACGAGTATTCTCACTTAAGTGAGAATGAAAACTTTGAAATACATACTATACATTTCCAAATTATTTATTAATTACCCAAACCAAAAATAAATAGATTTGCGTTCCCACTTCATTCTCTCTAATCACACCCATATGTGAGAATAGAAATGAGCATTTCATTCCTACACTCGTTTCATTTCGTTACTTGTTCTATTCCATTCTCACTTAATCTGATTTCTGCGTACCATATAAGGCATTGTTTTTTCAGCCAAAGGTTGTTCTCAGGCGAATAGCTTGAATTCTGAACCTTCTGAGTTATATGAATATCAATGTCATACAAAGTCTATGTTTGTGTGGTGCCTTGTGTTTAATTGCGGGTACTACTAATCTCTAATTTGTTCTGAACTTAGAATATCCAAGTAATTATATGGAAAATTTTGAGAAGTATGCTAGAAAAAGATAATGCTGAGACAGGCTAGTTTGCTTCCAGAAGAGATACTGTGATCCTAAGGTGGGGTTATTGGTTGGGACAAGTTAAGACTAAGTAGGATAATTGTTCCAATGAAATAATTTTATCCCTTTAGGATATTTTGAGCTGTGTAAAGTGGGACAATTTAGGATAACGAGACAATTTGGAGCTTTGATTTGACAATACATATGAGATAATTGATCATGTGGCACCTTATTAAAGTACAATATTTATCTATCAATTAAATTTAAATTAATATACCTAATTGGTTTAGTATATTATTTGGTATGTTATATAATATAACACATTATTTTACTTTATACTAAAATATAATATGTTATATTATAATTACAAATTAATTATAATTATATGTAATGTTATTAATTAATATAATATAATATGTTATATTAATATGATATATTATATAATATACAAATAATATATTTAATATAATATTTTAATAATATAAAAGTTAATCAAATATTATATTATTTTATTTAATTCAATATAATATTTTATTTTATGATAATTACTATAATTTAAATAGAATATTTGATGACATGGCTCCTCATTAAAATATAATATTTATAATAACTGTAATATACTATTAATATGTTCAATATTATTAATTAAAAAAATATTATTAAATATTATATTATGTTAATTATATATATTATCATACTTTAATATATGGTAGATTATTATAATTGTTATTGTAGTAATAAAATATTATTTAATATTATAACTACCACAATATTGACAATGTATTTAAAACTCTTAATTAATATAATAAATTATAATAGAAAATAGTAAATTATTATATAATAAATTATATTATAATATAATTAGTATATTATTATATTATAATGTTATATTAGATAATATTATATAATATTTTATTATATTACGTTATAATAGTATTTTATAATATAATATAATTAAGATATATTATATATTATAATACAATTAACATATTTTAGATATTTAATAAATTAGTACTTCAAATTATCCCATTTTTTTATGATTGTCCCAAAGTTTAGAATGGGGTAATTTTTGAAGGTTGGGACAAAAAGTTTGCATGAAAGTGAGATAATTTTGGAAAAAAATGGGGCTAATTGTGCTAATTTCATTGTCCCAATGAATAATGTCTTAAAGTGAAATCTCGATCTCATTGTCTCAATGAATAACACCATAAAGTAAAGTCTCAAAAATTATCTCACTTACCCCAAAATTACACCAACCAATAATTCCCCCTAAAAGAGAACAAAGTATAAGTGCGTAGGACTTGCATAATTAGCATTTCATCCAGAAACGAGAACTCGTATCAGACTTGACCTATAAAATGATAGACACAAAATCCTCTATCACATCTATTCCTTTATAATGAGAGGATCCAAGATTCACTATTCATACTACAGTAAATAATACAATAATTACTATAATATTATTACTGTAGCACAAACAGAAGGATCCAAGATTCACTATCCATGCTACAATAAATTACTGTAGCACAAGCGGAGGACATTTTTTAAAAATTATTGTAACACTTACAAAATTTAGAAATGTTAGGGGCACACCCCCAACCACAATCTCAACCACATCTCCTCTCCCTCTATAGTGCATTGGGCCCCACATCAAATTTTTTTTAAAAAATTAATGTGGGGCCTAATATACTATAGAGGGAGAGGAGGTGTGGTGGAGGGTATGGTTGGGGGTGTGCCCCTAACACCACTCCACAAAATTATATTTAAATACAGAATTACTGTAGCAAAAATAAAAAAAATGAAAGCCGTGCTTTGCTTGGGGTGCACACCAGTTAATAAAAAAGCAAAACACAACGTACTCAGTGGTTGCCTGATGAACATTAGGTTTTTAGGAATTTTGGCTAACGTCATGAAAAGCAAGGTTAACAGTTCAAATACAGATGAAATGGACACCTTTATCTTCCCTTGTAAAGTGCATTTATACATATACCGAGCAGGGGAAAAAAATGAGTTTTGTATTGGAAGAACCAATCTATAGTCTTGATCATGTAAACATTTTTTTTATCGATCTGCTGTTGAAGTCAGCCTTGTCTCAATTGATTTATCTGCGAAGCCAATCTTTTTCCAACTGGGGAACGGCCATTCTTTTCTCAGTAGTTTACAAAGAGTTCCTAATGTGGTGTAGCGAGGCTCAGCTTCTGGGGCAAAAACCCATAGTTGATTCTGAAAGATCCCTCGTCATGCAAAAGGGCTCACAAATTTTGATTTAATATACTTCTGATCAAGGCAAAGGAACCGGAGTTCTCCAAGTGTCAAACTCAACCAAGTCTCTGTTTACAATGGATCCATTATGAAGCCAAAATGTTTCTGCAGACTGATGGAAGAGCCTCACCTTTCTCTGTAGTTCCCACAAAATGCCTAACATAGCAGAGCAAGGCTCCGTTTCGGGAGCATAAACCAGCAGGCATCTCATTCGTCTACCACGAGCAATCATTCCTTCAATCACTTCATCTATTATCATAAACAGTTTTTAGTATTACCATTAAGCAAGCTTATTAAATAGAGGTGTTACAAAAAAAGAGGGGTAATTCACCTGGTATAGATTCTAAGTATTCGAGTAGTTGAGGGCCAAGTCGGCTTGATGGCCACTTGATGGATATCTGGCTATAGTCAATTACATCCTGGAAAGGTAGTTCAACTTGATCTGATAAGATGACCGGGACACATTCCTGTTTTAAGTTCACTATGTTAGAAGAGAAGCATCAAATATAAACCTAAGCCAAAATTAGATCACCGGAAGAAAAGACAGAGAGAGACCACGAAGTAAGATTCATAAAAACGAAGCGTCCAGGACGATTCGCCACGTGGAGCCAAGCAGAACTTGGCACTTCTCAAGTGATTGAAGTACTCGGTCCTTCCTAATTTGTTAGGGCCCTTGAGCTTCAACTCTGGAGCTTCCAGCTGTTTATGGCATCAATATGCATAATACGCAAGGATTAATCTAGGATCTATTACAAATAAGTACAGAACTTTCCATCAAGATCTTTTATAATCATTTCTCTAAAATGAGGAACGGCAAGTGTAACCAGAGAGAAATATTCTTAAAAAAAAGAAAAAAATATTAAGCAAAGTGAATCAATCAAGTCAAATGCCCTTCCAAATACAAATAACTTATTGTCTTCTTCCGCTGATTTAAAACAGCCCTAACTTTTGTTGAAAACAAAAATCGCAAGATCAGCAGTTCTGTGAAAGACTAGGTAGTTAAAGGATCAAGCACAACAAAAAATTGAGAACGCGGATTGAGAAGAAATACACAGCACAACAAAAAATGGAGAAAGCAGATTGAGAGGGGAAACATGTGTGGGGTTCACCTAAATACATTCAGTCAACAGGAAGTGGAGGTATGACTTTAAACTCATAAGAGGAATGTAGGATAACTTTCAGGCAATTTATGTTGCTGATAAAAAATCATGTAAGCCTTTGCATGCTTCTTTGTTTTCTTTATGCATCTAGAACATTTTGCTGATCAAAATCATGTAAGCCTTTGTATGCTTCTTTGATTTCTTGGTGTATCTAGAGTATTTTATAAGATTTGTTTGTGTATGTAGTTGGGTGCAATCATGTGGGTAAGTTGTGAAGTACATAATAATTTATTGTGTTAACATGATCTAGTTTAACTAATCTTACAGCTATGCTCCATCTAATAATTTCTTGGATTTATAGGCCATATCTCACTTGGATGCATAGATGAAAGTTATAAGGACTGAGTATTTTTTCTACTACTATTTTTTTGGTCATATTTCTACTACAAGATTTTCAACAGTGGATCAATTTTCATCCTCATGTGTCAAGGGTACCTACCTGAGACTTTTTCCCTACTACAATGATAATAATGACAATAATATAATTAAATGCTTCTTGCTGTTTGCATGCATCTAAGTGATCATTTTGTCCCACATTAAGTTTTATTTATGATTCATATAGTTAGCTTAGGTTAATTATATATAGTCGATATCATTATTTTCTGATTATATTTTCTAAATTATGTTATATGAATAGGCAACAAAGTGAAGTAGGAGATATATTCTATATTTGGGACCAATGTCATCAATTGGTTGTCGTTCATGTTATTTCTCATGGTAAATTGGCTAAAGCAATGAAGAATATATCGAAAGAATCATGTCACTCATCCCATTCAACAGTCATACAAAGAAAGGAAAAGAGCCTGTGAAGAACTCATACACCATGTTAAAACAAAAGCAGTTGCACTAATAAGAACGGGTCCAGAAACTTTTAACAATTTGTGTGACATCCTTAAAACGCACGGTGGTCTTACAAGCACACATCCAGCATAAGATGAAGAACAAGTTATCACTTTCCCTAGCATCTTAGGTGAGAACTCATTTAATTATACAATCCAGTGTTATTTTCATTCTAGTGAAACCATGAGTCCACATTTTCAGTATTAAGAAAAATGATTCTATTAGAAGAAATATTTATTCAACAACCTGATAATTAGAAAATCTCTTCAGAAATTATCAACAATGCTAGACTATGGCCATACTTGATGGTAATTAGACCATACACCCTTTATTAGTGGTAACAATTGAAATCTATAAACACTATTTGATGTACATTTATATTAGGATTGCGTTGTGGCCATTGGTGGAACACATATTCGTGTTAAAGTTTCCAATAAGCTTGTACCATGCTATCGGGGTAGCAAGGATTATCCAACAGAAAACATGTTAGCTGCAAGTTCATTTGATATGAAATTTACATATGTTTTAACTAGATGGGAAGGTGTCGCATCCAATTCAAATTAATAAAAAAAATGCTTTAATAAGAGAAGATAGACTCGAAATTCTTGAAGGTAATCGTTAACTAAAATATGTTATTAAAAAATTACTCATAAGATTAAATATTCCCATATAGTGATGTGACTCTTAAAAGGTAAATATTATATTGTTGATTATATATCAAAGTGGACTCATAACACCATAAAGAGGTGGACTCATGACATCATAAAGAGGCAAATGCTACCACGCGAAAGAATATTCTACTTAACAACCTCAAGATCCTCATGAATTGTTTAACCTTACGCGTTCATCCTTACACAACACAATTGTGAGATCATTTGCCGTATTGAAGAGAAGATTTCATACTATAGGCTTGACTGAGCTGAGATACTCTATTAACACTCAAAGTGAGATTATCTTGGCTTGTTGTATCCTCCATACTTGCTTAATGGGCGTCGATTCAAATGAAGAATAAATAGTTAAAGTGGATCGTGAGCTTGAACGACAAACACATGGACATGATTCTACTCATGCTCCTTTGGATGATGGCAAAAATATTGAACATGGGAATATTATTATGGATTTCATAGCTATAACATGTTGACTGATTATTTAGATAGTTAAATGTGAAATGAGCTATTACTTTCTGTTTATGTGACGAAAATACCTTTATGTGCTAATCTTTATGTTCTACTGATTATTCAGTCTTTATTTCATTTAGTATGGTTGTTTTATTTTATAATACTATACATTCTATGTTTTAGTATGAATTTTACTTGTACGATTACGTTGTACAAACATGGAGAAAAAGGAACAGTATTGGCAATGATCCAATTGAGGGTGTAGATGAAATAAAGAAAGATAAAGTACAATGGAAAGAGAAGATGGATGAGTATCTGATTGATGCACTTTAGCATTAGCAAATTAGAAATAGAGTGGATGGAAATAGGACTAGTGTTGCTTTATCTAATGTCAGGAAAGAATTATCAGAATAACCAGAGATGGACATCAATAAAGATAGGGTGAAAATGTGTATAAAAACTATTAAGCAAACTTGACTAATTCAAAAACCTTACTGAGTCTGCTTGGTGTCCAGTTACACATATGTGGATGGCTAAATGTGAAACCTGGGAGCCTTTGTTAAACACGTGTATTTTTCTTGGTTTGTCTCACTAATTGTTTATATTTGACGATTTTTCTCTTTTAGCTAATTATGGCGTTTTCTCTTTTCTACATAGGCAACCCCTAAGGTATCAACGTATATGAATCATCCTATCCATAACTATGACAAGATATTTTAATTGTTTGCGAAAGATAGAGCTGCTAGTGAGGGTGCTATGACAGCCAGCCAAGGAGCATCGACGTCTACAAGATTCAATAAATGTAGGTGAAGATGATACTACAACTTATATTGACATATTGCCTTCTAGGTAGGAGTGCTAAACTGTATCCGTATCCGAGAAAATGTCTGTAACTATATCCGTTAGGATACGGATATGGTTACTCAAATATATAACCAATAGGATATGGTTACAGTTATGATTTTATAGTGAAATGTCCGTATCCGTATCCGAAATATCTGAATACATATTAGTCATACTCTTACGATAGTTTCGATTCTTAGATTATGGATTTGTAGTTAATTTTGATGATCAAGATGTCTAATCTTAACTTTTCAGTTATTATAAACATATTAACAAACTCTTTTGTATCACATGAACTATATTTTTCTCAATACTATTTAGTTTTCTCATATCCATTTGGTATCCGCATGCATATCCGCTTATATATCCGCATGTATATCCGTAACCGTATCCGATTTTAACGGATATGGATATGAATTTTCCTTACCGAGGTATATCCGTATCCTTATCCGTATTCGAGATGGATAAGCGGATATGGATATGGTAAGCATCATATCCGAGCCGTATCCGGACCGAATGCACCCCTACTTCTAGGGGTAAGATCTTTGTCGAGACTTTCTAAGTTCTAATGAGGATATTTAGTATCTCACACCTTTAGCATCAAAACTTTTAATAACATCATCTTCAGATGTCAAAAAGAAGAAAGATAAGGAGACTCGTGTTTAAAAAGTAGTAACTAGAGAAGTTATATTGATTACAGAAGCAACAACCAATGTGGCAGAAGCAATTAGGGAGGGAATGCTCTACATGGTCAATCTCAGTCACTTTCACTAATACAGATATTCACGAAAGATTGCTAATGATTGGTTGGAGTTGAAAAGGAAATAGGAAGAAAAACATATCTTCATCTAGTCCAAAATTCAGAGATGAAGGGTGCATTCTTTGGCGTCCCACGTGAAGAGAGCAAGGGTTTTGTAATGGCTATGTTAAATACATAGAATATACGCGTGAGAATATATGCTAAGCATCACTTTTGTTATTTGCTTTAGAGCTTATGTTATTTGCTTTAGAACTTCTAGATGGCAACGCTTTTATCTTATGTTATTTGCTGTAGAACTTCTAGATGGCAACTCTTTTATCGCGACTTACATTATTTGTGTGACTTGTGTTATTTGCTTTATATATGTTCTTACTTGAACACTGGTTATGGTGACTGGTTGTTAAGGGTGGGTTAGAAATTACTTGTGATTCATCATTGTGATGGATGTAGTTGCAGGTTTAAGGTGAAACAATATTCATGCTCTAGAAGCAAATATGCAGTAATATGTGATGTACAGAGTTTGTTGCAGGTTGAAGGTGGCATATATCTATTTTTAGAAAGCTAATGTGTGGCTGTCTTTAAACTTGCAAAAATATAGAATGACTAACTTTTGATATTACTTCACACTGTATAATTGCACAGTGCACATATCTCGAACATTTACATGCACGTTTGAAGAGATGCATGCTTAAAAGGTGAAATTTGCAAACTTGTTGCATGTTCTGACCTACTAGTGGTTGACGAGCGGTGAAGGTGTATGGCGGCGGAGAAGCATGGATGGGATGGATTTTCGGGGTTAGTAACTGATGATTAAGAGCGTGATTTTTATTGATAAGTATTAATAGAGTACAGAAACATGAAGTATAGTGCAATAAGTTGAAGAATGTATAGCTCAAATGGACCTCTACATGATTCCTATTGTATGTTTTATTAAATTGGTGGTAAGTTAGGATAGATCTATTGTAGGTACATGAGAAT